GAAATGTATCGTCGTGAAACGCTACTCCATGTTTCTCATATTTGGACTCACTGAAGTTGTTTATCTTTTCCATCTTGTTTTCTTTACTTGTATATGTTTTAAAATACCCTAATTTAGTGGAAAATCAATTTTTAAGATTATATTTATAAATAATAATAAACTCTGACCCTTGTTATTATTCTGTGATCCTGATATTGACTCGGGCGACTGTTAAATTAGGACCACACACTAAAGTCAGATAATGAAATAGTAAATTAAGTAATATTAATGTAGTATCTTGGATGAAATAATTCAGCTATTTGAATCGGATCTATAAATATGCTATTGGCTGGTATTGATAACCGTTAAATTTTATTTGAGAATACGTATCTCTATTAAAAGTAAAAAATAAAAACGACATTTATTTGGCAGAGTGGAAGATAAAACCTTAATTCGACTTTTTCAGCCGACTAGTTTCGGTAACACAGTTATCATCATCAGGGCTAGCGACTATAGCGTTAATTTGGTCTTTAAAGCTGTAACGAACACTAATCGAGCCGCTCCCCAGTGGCACAGCGGTATGTCTGCGGACTTACAAAGCCAGAAACCGGGTTTCGATAGCCCATTGTGTAGCTTTGTGCTTAACTTCAAACAAACAAAACAAATCAATTAAGCCATCTACATTTCTATATTGTAGTCATTCGGCCTAACAATTGTACGTATCTTACTGGAACTAGTCGGCTAAAATATCTAATAAAGGTTTTATCTTTTGTTCTTTTTAACTCTTAATATAGCAGCAAATAGTGCCTGAAAAAAAAATACATGTATCTAATAACATAGGCCTTAATTTAAATGTCTATTTAAGGGTAAACACTTGATATGTTACGATAGCTTAAGATGCGTTGTGCAGTGACTGTTTTTAAGTGGATCAAAAATGAAACGCGTTGATTTATTTGCTGTTAAACCTTCCGTGTTTTATCATCACAGCCAAAAGCGAATTAATCCTGGAATCTCAACAACCTAGTAGCCTCGAAAAGATCCAACACTTGGAAGACACTAGTCGCTACCAACGAGACGCCTGGGTGGAGGAAATTGCTAAAATCAAACCACGCTTTACTTCCACCCTTAATAGCCAACATCTTCGGGAAGGTCAACAAGCACATTTCGAGTGCCACATAGAGCCTGTTAGTGATTCAACTCTCAAAATTGAATGGTTTCACAATGGGAAGATACTTCCCTCAGGTAATTAGCCTTTTACGGAATGATCCACTTTTGAGGTCAAATAATTCCAATAGTCAGAATCATTTTTATCTCCTAAGCTATTAGGATTTTATTATAAGAGTCGTTCCTCAAGCTGAATGGTTCAACAACTGAGAATTAACTTTTTTTTTTTTTAGATAATCAGGATTTCCTGAATCATTCTGTTCTAAAATTAATTATATCTAGATTTGAAGTGAAAGCATTTCACACATGAAGGTAGCCATTGTGTTATAGGTGATTCACTGGTTTTTCATATTATACAGCAAGTAGTACATTCGCTATGGAATTAAAAAATTAATAAACGTTATTTTCTGGATAGGTCACAGATATCGTCCGTTCCATGATTTTGGGTATGTGGCACTAAATATCCTTTCTGTAAAACCAGAAGATGAGGGTACTTACACATGCCGAGCTACCAATGCAATGGGCAGTGTTGAGCTTCAAGCAACTCTAGCATGTGAAGGCAAGTTTTTAGAATAAGACTCTAGTTCATCAGTTCTAAGTAATTCTGAGAACGTTTTTAGATTGACGATCAATTTTACAAATCAAAGTCTAGATTGATATATACTTAAGACAGTGAATGACACAATTATACATTCAAGTATGAAAGTGAGGAGTCTCGTTATTTGAAATACAAGACTTGATCAAAAATGAACACTTTTCATGATCTTCTAAGTATAATGAGGGTAACTGAATTAATTTAATAAAAAAACTTGATAATTTTAGAAATGTGAAGTTCGTCGAACTTGAAAATGTGTAATAGAATTGTTCTCACTTTTAGGAAAATCAGCAATTTTGTCCGACACTCATCATCCTGAGGGTCTTCAAAAGATTCAGGAGTTGGAGGCCTATTCGAAGTAAGTAACACTTGCTTCATATAAGGAAGATGAATTATCCAACGTTTATTGTGTTCAGTCTTGGTCTTCTTACCATAGGACATTGAAGTGTTGAAAATGGTTCAGAGGAGGGCTACCAGAATGATACTTGGGATGGAAAGGTTCTCATACGACGACAGGTTAAGATATCAAAAGTTGTTTTCTCTTGAAAACAAAACAAAAGAAGAAGAGTTAGAGGGGATCTGATTGAGATGTTTAATATTGTTAAGGATATTGATAGTTTTGATACTTCATCTTCTTTTGTTTTTTTACTTAATAGTGAGAATGGTAAGACTAGAAAATACATAAAGTTACGAGTCATCTTCAACTAAGATAGTTTTATTTTTCTAACAGTGTGTTGACCTTTGGAGTGGGAAAACTTTATAAATATTTGAATGGTAAGCTTTGAGTGCTTTATTTTAAAGTTTAGTTTAGGAGATTGGAAGGCCTGGGTGGACCAACAGGTTTCTTGTTGTCCTTAAAGTATATATATATATATATGTTACAAATTAACTTCCAAGAAATATAATACCTCTAAATCTTCTATTATTATTTTAATAATCGGCGATAGCATATCATAGCAAAGTTTCTAATTCTATTTATCATAATTAAACCTTTTTTTCCATTCAGACAGAGAATGAATAGAACACTATTATTTCAGATACACTAGACTAGAAGAAGAAGACTTCATTACCCAAGCACCTGTTTTCACAAGTCCACCTCAGAACTTGGAGGTAAGAGAAGGTCAGTCTGCTCGTTTCGAGTGTCGCCTCATCCCTGTTGGTGACCCAAAACTCAAAGTGCAATGGTTCCACAACGGGAAACAAATTAAGATGGGTAAGCTTTGTTATTTACTGAATCGTATTTACATAATTAAACAATAAACGTCGTAATATGTTTATATGATTCTGCAATATATGAAATTGTTTTAATACCGACGCGTATTGTTTGAAGTATTTTGTTTTGTAATAGTTTTCTAACTCAAATCATGCAGGCACTCACGTCACAGAAAATTTTGAATTTGGGCACGTTGCCTTGGTTATTCTCTACGCGTACCCAGAAGACTCGGGAACTTACACCTGTAAAGCTACCAATGCTCTTGGAGAAGCAGTCACCTCCGTTAACCTAAAATGTACTGGTAAGTTGTATTGTTTTATGCAGACGTTGTTTGGTTTCATGATAATCTTATCCTAATCACGTATAACTAAAGCAAGAAATTCATTAAAAAGTGGACTACTTTTCAGTGTTGATAAGAAATGCACTAGAATGTCTAACGTAAGATAAATAAAAAGAATTACTCGACCCCACGTGGTAGGTGGATTTTATCTAATGATGTATTATTCCAAACTTCGTTAAGGAAAACAAGCATATTTTGTAGTAGGCAAGTTCTGATTTTAATGATTACGTTTCCACCCATATTGTTGGGTCACCATCACCCGAAACTATGGATCGAAACGTTGTAATCATTAAAATCAGAACTTTTCTACAGTTAAAGTTGATGTTATTGTGTTTTTGAATTAATCACTCAGTTCAGTAGGTTCTTAACTAAAAATTAAAACAATAATCTGTTGATATCACGAAAATAATGTTTGAAACCAAACTATTTCTCTCTGAAGTTTTCCAATGGCCAGACCGAGCATAATCAAACTGAAACTAAAGGTGTTTTACTGAATTAACGTTAAGGAAATACACAATTTACAATAATTCATGTCCAACTTTTATCTAAAAATATATTTTATACCTTTAGCTGAGCTTTATACCTTCCTATAACCGTCACCGAACTCGCCCTTTCAGCTGTGGGGGGCGTTATAATGTGACGGTCAATCTCACTATTCGTTGGTAACAGAGTACCCCAAGAGTTCATGGTGGGTGGTGTTGACTAGCTGTCTTCCCTTTAGTATAAATCAGGGACGGCTAGTGCAGATAGCTCTCGTGTAACTTTACGTAAAATTCAAAACAAACCAATCTACTTATAATCAACTGTCGTTTCCACTTTCTGATAGCTTCATGAAATATAATGTGCTTGTACTATATTAGTTTCCATAGTGTTGCTAGTTTAGCATAATCATTTTCAAATTCTATTAGTTTATCATGGTCATATTCAAATTATTTTAGTTTATCATGGTTATTTCCAAATCCCTTTAATTTTGTATGGCATTTGAAAAATCTATTTAATGTGGGTATTTCAGCATAGTGATAAAAATATTTCAAAATTTAATGCTAATTTATCTAAATTTAACGTAGGTGCTTCCCAATGCTGATATACGAATGTGAATTTGCCACTTTTAAAGATTTTTATTTGATTATAATTCAATCATAACACGTAGTTCTGTTTTGTGATATAGTATATTTTTTTAGGAAAGAGCGCTCTTATTCTTGAGTCTCAACAACCTGATAGCTTGGAAAAGATCCGAGAACTAGAAGATGAGAGTCGATTAAGAAGACCTGAATATCCTGAAGAAACCACCACACAACCTCCTGTGTTTACTCAACCAATGAAAAACTTGGTGCTGCAGGAAAACGAAAGCGCTCATTTTGATTGCCGTCTCATCCCTGTGAAAGATAATAAGTTAAAAGTAGAGTGGTTCTTCAACGGCATGCCATTAATGCAAGGTAGGAGAGTATACTTTCTTTACGAATACTTGTTATATATATAAACCTACATAGAATAAAGGTATGATATTTCATTAGTTATGCTTTACGAATAAATAATGCTCGTCTAAAACTGGCATTTGAACAGCAAATATTTTAAGTATACTTTTAGTTTTTGACTGTGCTGCCATCTAGTGCAACTTTTGTGTTACAGACATTGTCTTGTACACGATTGATTGAACGAATCAAGAGAAAAGTAATAACAATCTCAAAGTATTTTGACAAATTTAGCAACTTTAAACTTTTGATTCAGTTAAAACTGATTAATACATGCTGACCCATTGCTACTGAAACTAGACTTAAAAAAACAACGTAATAAAAACGTGTTTTGGTTTCAGCAAAACAACTTCAAGTTTAGTAGGTTTGAGAAATTTAATGGACTGTTAATGTTAAAATAGTTCTTTGAAAATGAAATTCTCAGTTGCCCTTTACACCCTATTTGTTTAAATATTTATTTTCTCATTGATGTTCTACAAATCATTGGAACTTTGAAATGTATTCTCAGTATTGTATAGAAACATAATATTTCATGTAAACAGTTGATAAAATAATTTTCTTTCTTCTAAACATAGCTAGCAGAGTTACCACTTTACACGACTTTGGCTACGTGTCCTTAGACCTGGCGTATGTGAAACCTGAAGATAGTGGAACCTACACATGTAAAGCAACAAGCGAGCTGGGTCAGGCGGTATGCTCAGCTACCTTAAACGTTAGGGGTAAGAATTGTTTTCTACATTGTAGCTATGGCTACGTAAAATATTGTTCATTGGTTGTCCTCTTCAGTTATATGTGTTTACACCATTCTCGTCCATTCGTTGTCTTCTTCACTTTTATGTGTTTAAATCATTCTTGTCCACCACAGGAACGGATTTTTATATATATTTTTAATGCATAATCGTTAATTATAATCCTACTCAAAAGGATCTTAATTGTATCACTTAAGCAATATAATTGCTATGACATTCGAAAGTTGTGTTCACTAGTGGTAGTTTAATCTCAGCCATTAAACCGGCTTGAGATATTTTGTATTTGTTATTAACTTATTCTTTAACTAATAAAAATACTCCGCGTTACATTAACCAGTCATTATGAAGGAAGACAGTGTTATTTTATGGATTCAGAATATTTCTTGGGTATTGTTAAAGCTTTTAATGTCTATCTTAGTGAGATTGTGGCCCATCGAGGAATTATACTAATTATTGATGACGATTTTTTTAATATGCAGCCTGTAGGTTAACTTATTTCTTCTTTAGAACTTAGATTGACTTTAATCTTCTACACGTGTAATCAACTGTTTGTAAAAGAATCTAATGTAATCAGGCCTGTGTCTTAATGTTGTTATCTGAAAATAATAATAAATAATTTAGAAATATTTATTTTTCAAATTTTATGTAAAAAAGTAACAATGGGCCTGAAACATCCGTGATCACCTAATGCTGTTAAAGAATGTAAATGTTCGTGGATCCATATCTTGTTTCTCTCTACCAGTCCATCATCATGCTGTACGTTTCAAAAAAACTCTTCGTCATCTTGTTGCTGCCAGCTATGACTGTCGTGAATGATCATGATCTCCTATTTCGTGTCTCACTTTAACTAAGTTGAATATTGGAAAGATTATTCACTTCTTTACAGTTAGATACGTATTATAAATTTTTTACGAAGAGCATTCAGCGAGTAAAATAGCAAGCTTATATTTTCTAGGTGTGAAAGCTCTTCAGCTTCAGTCACAACAACCTGACAGCCTACAAAAAATACAAATGTTGGAGGACGCAAGTCGTTACCAACGAGAAGTTGCTGAAGACGTCGTGGTCACCAGCAAGCCGATATTTATCACCTCTTTGCAAGGAGTTGATAAGCTCATTGAAGGACAAAACAGTCACATGGAGTGTCGTATTGAACCCTATCCTGACCCTAGTATGAAGATCGAGTGGTTTTTCAATGGCAAAGTGCTTCCAAGTGGTGAGTTGAAACATAACTTTTTCATTTTCACCCAGTTCCTTGTCTCTGCAACAAAATTTTTAATTTTATCCACATTCAATTCGTGAACAGGTTCGAACCTGGGACCTCTAGTATGCCAGGATAGTGTTCAACTAATGGAGCAAAACGGCTAATTTGTTAGCCATTGCCAGTAACGTATTTTTTTTTTACTTCTCAAACTACTGCATTTTTCCCTCCCTCATAAACAAATAATGTTCTCGACAGTTTTTATATAGCGATCCAATTTTTCTGCTCGTCTTCAGGAGAACAAAGAAGAATAGTCAACTATTCGAAAGCGCTGGAGTTTTTGGGTCTTATTTTAAGTTTGTTACATTTTATATGTGATCCTTTGTGCTGACTCTTTTATCAAAAATGCTTTGTTGTTACGAAATTCTCCTTCAACAGCTGTTGACAATTTTAACCTCTTGCACGTTTATTGACTTGTTGGTTCTCTATAATGGCTCTCTATAAATTAATATATTTTTAAATAGTTCTTTTGAGTTTTACAGACTTCTGATGGAAAGAGCCAATAATTTTGCTCGTATGTGAAATTATTTAAGTTCTTTTGTATTTGTTTTTCATAAAGCTTGTTTGTTAAACTACCAGACATTGTGAATCTTTGTCTTAATTATGGGGCTAATGTTCAGTAATGTCACGTTTTCTGAATTATCTTATATTGAATGTATGGTGTCAATATTTTTGTGTTCGACTGTATGTGTTGAAAACAATATGTTCATTGACACAGACTTCTATCTGCCTTTGAGTTATTAAAGGCTTGTTTGTACTCTGTGTATTATTGTCTGTGTAAACGCTACTGGAAGATTATCAGTAAATCGCTGTGCTTAAAAAATTATAAGATTCACTAAGGAGATCAGTACCTGCTTAAAAACGTATTGGTTCGTGATGAAGTAATCTTACTAGAATAAAAAAAAATAACTTTGGATAGCTCAGTCAGTTAGCTCGGTTCCTCATACAGTTTTGTGTTAAAAATACGCTTTGTAATGAATTTAAATGCAATGATATGTGCTAAAGAAAGAAAGATAATATTTTTGCTTTTATGTTGTTGTTTTGTCGTAGCTCATAGATACCGAACAATGTATGACTTTGGATTGGCAGCCCTAGATATCTTATCTGTAACTCCAGAAGATACCGGTGAATACACAATTAAAGCTACCAACAGGCTTGGGGTTGAAACATCATCAACCAAAATACATGTAACAGGTAAGTATTCAGAAGGACTAGTTGCTCGGTATCATATTTGTAACTGCAGAAGATACGAGTGAATACATGATTAAAACATCTTCGACTTGAATAACGTCACAGGTAAAATTTCAGCGAGAGTAGTCCCACTTCAGTAACAAGTAGAATGCTCGAAAGGAAAAAGAAAAGAACCTTAAGATGTTCACTCAGCAAGATACAAGCTTAATTAGTTCTTATAGAAATGTGTTTCAAGAACATTTTACAAGTGTTTAACAAGAAATACATTGAGAAAGTGTATAAATGTTATTAAAGCGCCTTTTTTTAATACGAGTGATTATATGACTGACTTCGAAATTTTGAATCTTTAAATAAAAAATTCACAATAGATAAGATTTCTTAAATATTCATAAAGCCTTTTAATTGTCTTTTATAGGATAAATGGTGTAGTAAAGACTTATCAACTAAATTAATAACAATATTAATGAATAATAAATCCTGTTTGAATGTGATTTAATGCTCTAAAAATTGTTGGCAGTAATAAATGGTTGATGTTGTTTGGATATGTTTGATGCTCTCAAAGTTTTGGATAATAATGAATGGTTGATGTTGTTTGGATATGTTTGATGCTCTCAA